ACCATCTAATATATTCATTTACATACAATTCTGTTGTTTGCTCCTTTGCTCTCAGGGAACCATTATTCCTGTTACTGTTTCTGAAGGGTTATCTATCTTGACTTTCATGTATCAAAAGATCTTAATTATACAAGTGAACATATGCAAGTCTAACATGATTTATAAGGTAAAACAATTAAAAACCATAATAGTAAGGAAAGGAAATATTAAAGAATTAAAAGCTAGGTATGTGCTTCATCAGTGCTATACCACACCCTGGATTTATCATCCCTTCTGTGTGGCCCTTCTGAGAGGGACTGTTTAATTATCTTACAGGTGGGTTTGGGGTCTCCACTGCATCCTACCCCTTCACATTGATTTGGTGGTTTGATTTTCAACTTCTGACACCTCATGAGCACACAGCATGATACCTTCTGTGGGCTTTGTTGCTTTCCTGCTACATGGCCACTTGTTTGCTACAAGCCTTTAAGACTTAACACTGTATCTTTTAATAACCAGGCACCATCCGCTTTCTTCACCACATTTGTTTATGCACTGTGATAGTTAAGGTTTATTGTGCCAACCTGGCCGATAAGTAAACACATGTGGGATTAATTGAAGGGTGGAGAGATAAATGGCTCAATGAGCCTTGCCTTTCTTGTTCTCTGATGGTCGGACCAGTGTGTAGCTGCCTTAGCTAGTTCTTTGCTCAGCTGGCAAGGCTCACTTCCTGAGAGACATCCCTGAGAAGCCACATGGACCTACCCTGATGCAGCTCTGGGTGCTGGAGAAGCGGCGTGGAGACCCCTGCCAGCGCTGAGATGCTTACACGCTTATTGATTCCGCTGGTTTTCCTCCTGCATTCGGCGTTATTGCGTGTTTTGTGAGTTTGAGGAGGACTTTGTGGATTGGTGTGGGACTTATGGGTTTGGACTGAACTGGGTTGGGATGCTCTCTTAATGTACACTTACCTTTTATAGAAAACTCTCTTTTATATACATGAGTTTCTGTGGATTTGTTTCTCTAGTCTACCAAGACTAACACATGCACCCACTTTGTCTTCAGCGATCATGTCAGGACGGTATCATACAATGCCACATTATTAGAACAAACCATTCTTAAACAGAGGTAAGATTTAAGTAGAGGCCCAAAGTCCATCTGCTTCCTTGTTGCATTTGCATTTATATACAAACAAATATACCCATATATATATTTTTTTTTTCTTTCCTCCTGCCCCACTTTCATTTTTACCCAACATTCACCTCTGTTATTCCTCACAGATATAATTCTATTGACCAGAAAAGATACATCCTCCTCATCATCCATTTTAGAATGTTTACTGTTCCCCTATACCTGTCTTTATTGGCTCACCACTCCCTCCCTCACCTCCTCCCTCTCATGCCCCCAGCAACTGCTGGTCCTGTTGCTGTCTTTGTAGGACTGCCTATCTTGCCTATCTTGTAGAGATAAACACATGCCAAGAAAAGAAATGGGGGTGGGGGGCATGGAGAGAAAATCAGAACATATAAAGGGGGTACCCCCCGCAAATGGAAATTTTTTTCAAAGCTATGTAGTTGAATTTTATGAAACAAACTTATCACCTTCAGCGTTCTCTCCATTACACTTAATACATTTGTCAAATCTACAATTCCATTCTTGAAAACATTTTTCAAATTCATCTGCTTGAATGGCTGACAGTACCTCCCTCGTTTTTTTCTTCACCTCTTCGGTGACATCAAATTGCTGTCCTTTCATGTCCCTCTGGATTTGTTGAAACAAAAAGAAGTCTCATGGAGCAAAGTCAGGTGTGTAAGGTGGGTGGGACAAGAGAGGCATGCTGTGTTTGCCCCAAACTGGCACACTGAGGTGGCTGTGTGACCAGGTGCATTATTGTGGTGGCAAAACCAATCCCCCATCTGCCACAAATCAGGTCTTCTATGTTGCACACTGTACACAATCTTTTCAAAATCTCTAAGTAGAAAGCTTGATTAACAGTCTGACCTGGTAGAACGAACTCCAGATGCACTACGAGTTGGATTTTTTGTCCATTCGTGAAGTTGACAGACATCCAGAATGAAATTTGTCGTCAATCAACCTTTTACCTTATTTGAAACAAGAAGACCACTCATACACTTGCGTTTTTCCATAGTGCTCTCTTTGTAAGCCGTATTCAACATCACACGTTTCTGTGACATTTTTCCTGAGCAGGCAACAAAATTTCACAGCTGCACCCTGTTCTCTTAAATCAGCCATCACGAAAAACAAAGTTTGAGCAAAACTGCTTTTAGGGAAAATTCACTGTGACCACAGAGAACCTTCACAGTCAATGCCCGGGGCACTAACTCAGACTGAGTTGTTCAATGCTTGCAAGCATAAGGGCTCTCTAGCTACCACTGGGAACCCTAGTGGCACTGTTGGGTTCGCAATGAACTGTTACCTGCAAGGTTCAACCCGTACGGCCACTCAGAGGGAGAAAAATGAGGCTACCTGCTCCTGTGAAGATCTGCAGCCATGGAAACCCTACCTGAGGGGGAACTGACTGGAGTCATGACTTGGAATCAATGACTCAGAAAGAAAGGGAGTTCCTTTAGGTAATTACCAATTAATTACATTCTTAAGGAAAAAATATTTTAAACCTAAAGCATTTCATCATTATAAAAGGTCATGCAGTTTTCCTTGCAAAGCAACCCCTACACGTAATTCCAAGAATGGAATTGACACCAAAATGCCTGACTACTCCTGTAAACAGGGACAGTTTCTGGAACTCACAGGGACGGTTCCACTCTGCCCTATAGGGTTACAATTAGCTGCCACTCGACGGGAGGAATGTTTCTTGCTTTTGTTGGAGTTTACATACTATAGTTTTACCCCGGTCCATCATGTTTGGTACAGTAGAGGAGCAGCAAAAAGAGGAAGGCCCTGGACAGATGGATTGATGCAGAGGCTGCAGCAACGGGCTCAAACATAAACAGGAGAGGGTCAGTAAATAAGTATTGCTACTACAGCTGTCGTTGATTGCAACTTGTAGTAACGTCTGTCCCTATGTATTGGGGTTCCAAGGAGAAGATACGCTTTTTTCTCACATGGAGTAAGCTGGTGGGCTTGAACCACCACCAATGAGGTTAGCAGTTCAATCCTTACCCGACATGCCTCCAGGGCTTCTCTAGACTCTTCATGCTTGGGACCACTTTCCTAATGTATCTAAGACACAAAATAATGATCCAGTTAAAAAGCTAACTCACTGTCAATTCTGACTGGTAGCGACCTTACAGAACAGAGCAGAACTGTTGAGAACAGCTGACTGCCTAAGTTTACGTTGTGTGATTTGCTCTAGCACAGCTAACATGGCACTGCCCAGCTCTGCAAATGATGGCTCTCCAGTATGCGCTCTGTTCTGTGCCATCTAAGGAACGCTGGCTCAGTCACCACAGAACAGAGACTTGGCAAGGCAGTAATCTTCATGGAACCAGACAGCCACATCTTTATCCTCCAAAGCAGCTGATGGGTTTGAATCAATGACCTTTTGGTAAGCTGCCAAGCACTTAACCATTGTGCTACCAGGCCTCATCTATTTCCCTAGAGCAGTCCTAGACCCTGAGTGTTGGATTGGGTTGTCCATTGGGCCGCTAACTGCCAACGTCAGCAGTTCGAAACCACTAGGTGCTGTGGAGAGCTTCCATATTTAGTTTTGGAAACCTACAGGGGTCCCTGTTCTGTCCACGGGGCTGCTATGTGCCAGAATCGATTTGATGGCGCGAGTGAGGGTGATCCTGATTGTGAAGGAAAGGAATAGCTTCTCCGATGTGTGTGAAGTGTGCCAAGGCACTCTGCCCAGGGAGTGGACAGTCCTGAGATGTGCTGCTCCACTTGCAGGCCTTATTGTCCTGCGACCTGAACTGACAGGTGAACAAGATGAGGTGTCCTTTCCACCACCACCAAACACATGCTGTTAAATCCATGACTTTTCTGATGTGCCATCATTGTGTAGTAAGTGCTTTGGTGTTCTGAAGTTGTCATCTGTCCCATAGTTTGTTGGGTATTAGATGCGGGTCTATTAGGAGTCAGATGTGGTTGTTAGCCTGTGAAACATGACATCTCAGTGGCTTAAAAAAGTACTTCCTTTTCCTCTCACGTTGACAAGCTCAGAGGAGTGCACGGTACAGATTCTACGGTAGGCTCCCCAGGACTTCCTTGCCCTGGTCTTCTGTCTTTACATGCTACCATGCCTACAGCTGCCTTCCACTTTCACGGTCAGGCTATGGACACAAATTGGCCTTTCCAGCCACCACGTCCTTCCTCCGAGCGAGAGGCAGCAAGGAGGAAGAAATGAAAGGGGGTGGGAAGACAAAGACGTGTGGAGGACCCCTGGTGGTGCTGTGCCATACAGAAAGCTTGGTTCAAACCCACCAGTTGTTCCACTGGAGAAAGATGAGACTGCCTGATCCCCCAAAATTTGTAGTCTCAGAAACCTTATACCTAAAACCTGCAATTTTAAACTTCCCGACAATATAGGACCAATGTATTTCAATGTCACCTACAGACTTCAGAAGGGCGGTCCATGGCCCACCAGGCCACTGAGCCATGCCTCCCTTTCTAGAACCTAGAACCTTGAAAGACCCAGTTCTGTGGGTTCACTTCTGGATAGACTTCCCATGCTCTAGTGCCATGACTTCCCAGAAAAGCAGCTAAATCTCAGTTCCAGCCAACATGGAATGCTTCCTGTGTTCATGGAATGTTGATTCTGTGAAAACAAACTGAACACTGTAAAATTCAACATTTCAGTGGAATCACTTTACAAGGTCAGCAATAGAAGCTCAGATAAGGCAAATTAGAATCTGCATATATAACATGAAAAGCTATCCAGGAAAGCTAAAATGCAAAAACCAATTTGCAAAATAATATGTATAGGAAGAGTCTATTATTAATGCAGTTATAAACTTTTCCTTTATAAACAGATATTCATATAACATTATCTTTATAATGATGAATTTTTAATAATAAAATAACAACAAAATGATTGATAATGTTCAAAACACATTTATTTGTTAAGTGACACTGAGACTAACATTATATAAATGGGTTTCAACAAATTGTTTAATGAAAAAATGTGGTATACAATGTACTTGTCTATAAAAAAAGTATCTACAAGTTGAGAAACAAAGATATTTTTCATTAAATGTAGGAGCTTTAGAACAACATTCATCGTGTAGCATTCCAGTGAAATAGTCAGGGTTAAACCATTTTTATTTCAATCATATTCCAAAAATCGAATGTGTTTACTTGCTTGCTGAGTCTTGGCCAATCTAATCTTTTCAGCTTTGGTGATTAACTATAGGGAGGAAAAAGCAAAAATTAGAACATACTGGACACCTGAAAAGAAAGAAGATAATTATAACTAGAAAGAAGTGAAGCTTTCAACTTAAATTCTGCCTGAAGAGAACGGAGCAGGGAGACTACCGGGCTGAACAAAAAGTTCCAGTCCCGTGAGAGGAGAAGAGCGGTCATGACAGGCTGGGCTTTGGGTTTCGAAGGCGCGCTCTGTCCTGCAGGCATACCGAACTCCCTGACAATCTTGCTTCAGAACCTCTGCGCTTTCTGCTGCAGAGTTGCACTTCCAAATTCTCCTTGGCAGCTCACTCACTTCCCTGTCTCTGCTCAGATGTCACCACTGTAGCTGGAACTTCCCAGACCACCTCACTGAAGCAAAGTTACTCATCATTTGCTTTCTTTTCCTGCACACCAGTCCTCAGCACTTCACCTACTTTGTCACCTAAGTTGTTATCTGTGTGCTTTGAGCATGCAGGAGCTTTGTTACTTAGGGCTGCGAATTCAATCTCCAGCCCTAAGACACTATCACAAAGGGGTCATTAAAAAAAAAAAAGATAGGTAACAAGGTAGGGAGGCACACTAATTATGGACTACCCCTCCCCTCTCAAGCCTTGCGAGGTGGGGAGAAAGCTGGCTTCCTACTCCCATAGCAAGTTCCAGTCTCAGAAACCAGCAGGGGCGGTTCTGCCCTGCCCTAGAGGGCGGCTACCAGGGCAAAATAACTCCACGCAAGGGGTTTGTAGGTTTGGTCTTTCGCGCGGTACTTTCTTTTCATTTTATGAGATTAGCCAATTGAGCTACTACCATACCTTCAGTGAACCCCTTGTTATTTTCTCAAATGTTTCTGTATGAAACAACTTCTGCCAGTGACAACTCTGAGAGTACACCAGGCAGCGTGGTCAGAAAAACAACTCTCCACCTCACTGACCGCGGTCAGCGCTTGCTGCTCTCCAGCCGATTCTGACCAGGGACAGGGCAATTCCCAGCAGAGAAGCAGATGTGCTCCTTAGGTTTGTTCAGACTGGCTTCTCCAGGGCTGAGCTCCAGGCCTGTCTTTGCAGGCACTAAGTGGGGCGGTTGGAGCCCTCTTCCGTTCAGCTAGCAGCACGTAACCATTTGTGCCACCCTGGGACTCCAGCGCAGCGACAGAGCTCCTCGCTGTGTCCCAAGCCAATTTAGGAAACTCTAGCCAGTGTTTATTTCTTTGACTCAAGTTTAATTTTCAAATTGCTAAGTCCCAGGACTCTTAAAATAGTGAAATTTCACACCAGTGACAACAGTAAGTATTGTTTAGCAAAGCAAGTTAATTTGTCACCAACCCTCCATTAACTATTTTAGCATTTAAATAATCTCAAGCAGGCTGTGAAATTAACACCTCTTAGACCTAAAAGAGCTCTTAGGAAGGAAGGAGGCCACCCTATCTCAGCAAGTCCCCTAATTCGTGAAAAGAGAATGAACAAAGACCAGTAGGAAACTTCCCCCAAATTATCTTTAATTCCAAAGAATCCCAAGTGATAGCGGGTTGACTTAAAATACGTGATTTTAAAGTAAAAAACAAAAATAGTATAAGTATAACATCCAAAAATCTACAAGCCAAGACGATAAGAAGCCTAACTTTTTAATGCTAACTTATAGAGGATGTACATTATGTTAATATTTTTATAATATATAATTTATAATTATGTGCCTTCTTGTGTGTTGAATGTACTAACCTTCTGCCAACTAATTTGTGTCTAAAAAATAAACTTGACAGCTCAACTAGCAATGACTTTATGAATTACCCAGAGTCACACTAAACTGAAAGTACATTAAATCAATGAACAAGAGACTTGTCTTAAATTGTTTAACTTGTTTAAGATTGTTTTTAATACTTGTCGAATCTCTTAGAGACAAAGAAATAAGGCTTATCATTCTTTTATCAGAACATACATATGTTCTCTTAATCTTATCTGTAGAAGCTTCTATCTTTATCAACTACCCTCTACATATTTTGTTTTTAACACTAAAACATTCTTGAAATAATCATTCGCCATCAAGCTACCAAAAGGACAATCAGGAGTGTAACTTGGAAGCACATCACTAGTTAAGAAAACAAAGAACCACAAAATACAACTCAATAAAAATTACAGTATGTGTCCTTTTGGGCCCAAATAATTACAATTTCATGTATCTCGAGATCTAGACAAATGAGTACTCCCTCCCATCTAAATCTGAGTATATATTCCGCAAACCTTTAACATAGGGAAATCAAGGTTATTTTATGACTACGGATTGCTGACTTGCAGGAGAAATGAGTCTTGCAAAGATGCGAGGCTACATAACTGTAAGTTCAATGTGAATTGGTTACCTTCTCAGTGCCTCTTCTCTTTTCCCGAGGCTGATTCAGTTTGGCCTGCCTGTCTACCAGAATCTTCTGCCAATACCTCTGTTCATGATCACCTGGAAATCAGACACACACATCACTCACGGAACACAAAGATACAAACGAGGACACACTTTCAACAGCTGAACTTCAACAGTCACTTGGTTATAATGGGCATGATTTCATGCCTACTGAGTATAAAGACAAAATAATAAATTTCATACTAAAGTCAGAAACTACAACACAATAACCCCCAACAAACACTGTTGGAAGAGAAATTGAAGTCCATTTTACCAGAAAGGATCTCCAGTTTCCAGTTGTGCTTTTTGCTGATTTCTGGGTATGCACTTATTACTGCTTGAGCATCCGCAGGAGTCCTAAATCTTACATGGCATTCCGTATCTCCTTCTAGCAAATCAACATACACAACTTCTGAGATCGCTGCCAAAGTATCCTGTATTAGAGGGCAGTAGAAACACTTAAAATAGGTACTGAAAAATGACTCCTAATAATTGTAAAAATTCCCTAACAGTGGTGTCAGGTTGCACTCTCAATGTAAACCATTATGAACCTCAAGCAAACATTTTTATAACAAACATTTTAAAAAATGACATAGAAATATTATTAAAAATATACTTTGATAAAAGAGAAAAAAAATCAATCTTGGCACCAACTCTTCGAATCTACTTTCACTTATTTCTGACACACTTTAAAATCTGAATTAGAATGTGTGAATATTCTAGATGGGATCTGTACAGCAGAATAGACAAATACTGTGCATTTCCTGCAAAAGAGTTCTAATTTCGGAGTAGTACATTTGATAATTAAAAGAAATTTGTTTCGATTGGAGAAGGAAGGTTTGTACTTGTGGTTGTTAGGTGCTATAGTCAACTGAGATTCATGGCAATCCCATGTGTGCACGGGAGACCCGCTCCGCCACGTGACTGAAGCTATATATAACCTCTGGGAAGCAGATTCGCCATGTGACTTAAATTACATAAAACCTGAGAAGCAGATTCGCCACGTGACTGAAGCTATATATAATCTCTGGGAAGCAGATCCGCCACGTCACTTGACTGAAACTACACATAAACTCTGGGAAGCAGAAACACCACGGAGTCGATTCCAACTCACAGCAAGCCTCTAAGGCTGGGTAGAACTGTCCTTGTGGGTTTGGCAGACTGTAAGTCTGTAGGTTAGAAGAAAAGCCCAGTGTTTCTCTCTTGCAGCAGGCTAGTGGTTTTGAACTGCTGACCTTGGGGTTAGCAGCCCAGTGCTTATGCACTGAGGATCAGGCCTCTATTCAGGTCAAACAACAAACCTTTTGCTGGTAGTCAGGGACTTAAAACCACCACAAGAGTTTGTGTTTTTTATTTACCTCTACAAAAATCATTTGACTTAAAATACACATACATCAAAGTGTCCAACCTTTTATAACAAGTCATAAAAATGCTTAATAAAGCTTAGGGAAAGTCGATATTCCCTGGTGGATCAAGCAGAACACAGTTCAAGAGGCATGACTTCTGAAAAGGTATTGAAGGCAACTCCTAACCAAATTGTCATCCCCAAGAAAGGATCATTTTGTCTCTAGGCCTACCTACAGAGACAGCAAATTAACAAGATTCCTGCATTCCTAATCAATTTTTTTCTCAGCAAGTTCTACAGTGTATAACAAAGCCTTTATGCAGGAATGTTACAAATTCTTAATTAGTCACCTTCCAGGCATAAAGCTTAAAAACAAAACTGGAGATCCTCAAAAAGTGAAATCTTAACAAATTTCTTCTCAGTGTCAGTTTTACTGACATCAGTTTAAATTACTTTTAGATGAGGAAATTTCAGATTATTGAGTAATGGGGGGGAAAAACCAAGCAACCAATACTTGGAAAAATTTTAAAAATATCGAATAAAAATCTGCACGAACCCAAAAGACAAGAAAAGCTCATCCCAACACAGCCCCAAAGATCGGCACTTAGTAAATGAAGCAGCTTAAAAAAAAAAAGTTAACTGGGAAAAAATAAAAGATATACCTGACAATCATTTCTAATTCCCTATTTAGGCGATTAATACTAAATTTAGGGACAAAGTAATAAAATCAGTATTAAAATGATGACATTGAAATATATTCTCTAGTAGCACTAGTAGTATTGAGAGCTCTGCAGGGGATTATCAAACAGAACAGACTGCAACCATTCAACAGATCGTTACTAAATATCCATTATAATGTCAGCCTAAGCTCCTGATGCCAAAACCCTCTCAGAAGGACTAATTAGGCTAGCAGTCACATGGGCAAGGCACAGCCAGCATAACTGCCATCATAGCTCAGTTTTTGTTCCAGCAACAAGTAAGTAACTACAATATTGATTAATGGAGTTATTTTGCAATTTCAATCAGCATACATAATGAATCTGTAATAATGCAACTATTTAGAGAACAGCTCTTTGATAAATATAAGGAAATCTATATAAGTGATTCCAAATAACTAAGGTGACTAATTTCTCCACGCACTTTTTTGCATTCTAACTAAGCAGAGTAACATGCCTTCTCTCATGGTTTCAGGTGGACTCTTCTACATTTTCTATATGCTTCCATGCCCTAAGATGCAAGCTGGTGGGATGGGCCAAATTCCTCACCAACAGGGACAGAAACTTCACAATGTACTTTATTGGCAGCCAGAGATTGTTCAGATAGGGCCTCAGGGTGCACACGGATGATTACAGTGCACAAAAACCTCAATACAAACGTGAGTTTAAAAAGCTGACTGGTCTATGCAAAACCAAACAAACGTGATACATGCCGCCGTGTCGCTAAAATAATTTAACATTTTTAGTAAGACCTATAAGTTCCTTGCTTGGTTAAACATATACAACCTCTCAACTGAAAATGCGGCAGGGTGAGAATAAATAAGATGGCAATCTTACACAAAATTCTTGATGGCACTATTAAGAATCTCTTGTGAGGGTGCAAATGGTTGCTGAAGATAAACATGGTGTGTGTGTGTCAGTTAGACTGTGAAGACTGCTTAAATTATATAGGCCAGTGGGTTTATTTGAGTATGGGTGCACAGTTGTAGCTTTAAAAAATATGAATTGTTTTTCAAACAAGTCTGGGTAGTGCTGCTTACATGTCAGCCGCAAGAACTGAGAACATTTTAATAAAAAGAAAGTAAAATAAAAATTCTTTCCCTCTAAAATCAGAACCTGTGCTTCTTTTAGAAAAAGCACAGAACTAAGACAAAAATAAACTCATAATAAGTGATCAATATGTACAGGTAGTGTCTTTAATGCCCGAGAGTAATTTTTACCTATTTTTAAGTCATTGGGTACTTAAGTCTTCTAAGGAGCTACTAGAAATCCAGAGCCCCATTGAAAAGAAATTCATGAGGAAGGGAGGGAAAAAGGAAAATGAGCTGATTCAGGGAACCCAAGAGGCAAGCGAATTTTGGGAATGATGAGGGCAACAAATGTATAGATGTGCTGTACACAATTGATCTATGTATTGTGATGAATTGTATGAGCCCCAATAAATTGATTAAAAAAAAAAAAGAAATCCACAAATTCTCTAGTTTAGTCCCAAACCAGAGAATTACAGTTAAAAAATAATGTTAGGCCAATGATAATATTAGTATTAAAAAAGCCTGAAAGTGGAAAAATATCCTTCAAAAAATTGGGAAAGCCTTTTCTGTATCCTTTAGTTATGAAAGTGACTCTATTTCTTCTTTCACAAGTACACAACAGCTAACAATTAAAGGAGTAGATATACGCATAAATCATAATTTTCCCATAGCAAAAGATGTGTCAATTGAACTCACTATACATGAGATCCACTGAGAAATTTCAGGCTTTAGTTTTTGCTTCAGGTTAAATGTGAGAATTAGCAAAGAGTCAAAAAGTTTCCTATAGAGGTAAAAATTCTAATTTGACTGGCCTTTTTAAAACACAGGTCGGAGAGAAACTACCCTGGGGGCTGGAAGGCATTACCCGCACTAGTTTCCTGCCAGGTAGAGACTCTGCACTGAGGATCTTCACAATCACTCCACTCACAAACTGTGGTCCCATGGCATTAGCTTCCTGGGGGCGACACTCTTCATTGTTTG